ACATCCTCTAGTTTCATGGTTCTAAATACCGTATATGTATCCCGATGCCCAGATCTACAGACTCCTATCCACCTGCCTACCCTTTATGTCCATTTGAGTGCCTCGTGGGCATCTGTGACTTAAAATCACCCAAACTAAACAATGGATTCCTTGATGCCAGGATTATTTTTGGTTGGATATAATAGGAACTTGACTAGATTTCTTCAACAAGTGGGAGAAGATTCCCACCTTGCAACAAAACTAAAAGCAGACAGTCCAAGTTGATGTTGCCATTTTACAGTATCCATATTCCAAGCTCCTTTTGGTCTTTCAGCGTTACCATCTTTATCTCAGCACGTGTCTTTCACTCTTCCAGTTACAGTATAGCTGCTGTCACTCCAGGAGCTGCTTCTGCATTTCTGTCAGGAAAAAGAGCCCCACTATAGCGCATCTCGATTATTATTAACTCGCACGACCTCCTTAAAGTGGATTTATATCAAGCCATGCCCTTGCTCAAGATATTCACTGAACTTTCCATTTAAAATGATATGGGGGCACCTGGGTGACTCAGTTGGTTAAACGTCCAACTTCAACTCAGGTCATGATCTCATGGTTCGTGGGTTTGAGCCCCACTTTGGGCTCTGTGCTGACTGCCAGCTCAGAGACTGGAGCCTGCTTCAGATTCTGTGTCTCCCTCTCTCTCTGCCCCTCCACCCCTTGTGCTGTCTCTCTCTCTCTCTCTCTCTCAAAAAGGAATAAACATTAAAAAATGAACAAATAAATAAATAAAATGATATGCACCTTCCTGCTTAGCCTCGAGGGCCGGACAGTGTGCGACGCTGCCGCCTCTCTGAGCCTGAGACTCCGTGCTGTGCTTTGTACGCCAGGCTGGCCCTGCCTCTCCATTGCTGCGTCTGCTTACAGTGCTCTTGCTCCAGCTCCTTACCTTCCCCCCGCCCTGCGTGATTCACGTCATTCCACAGACATTCCCACCCCACACAGGCCCCCAACTCCCACCCCTTTCTGTTACTATCTGTCCCCGCCCTCTTTTAGTTCCTTGTGTACAGCTTCTTGTCTGATTCCTGGTACCTAAGCCCCAGGAAGACAGGAGTGTCTACCAGCTCCAATAACACGTAGGCATGTCATCTGCTTCGTGGCCACCTTCAGGGCTCTTGCTTCCCCTGGAACTTATCTTTTCTAATAGACAAAAGATAACGTCCTTTAACAACTCCTACATGTCTTCATCTTCCCCATACTGTCTACTTCATGGAATCAACCTTCTTCTAGAAGATCCCCTCTCCAAATCTGCTCACCTTTGCTCCAACCTTGACGGATAGTTTCTCTGGGCCTGGGATGCCCAATTGTCCTTGGATTCCCTCCCCTCCCCTCCCCTCCCCTCCCCTCCCCTCCTCTTCCCTCCTCTTTCCTTCCCTTCCCTTTCCTTCTTTTTTGGATGTGTATCAGGATCAAATTCAGGTACATAAAATACGAAGTCCAAATACCTATAACCTTCAAGAAAAAAATGAATTATTTTTTTCCTCTCAAAAAACAAGTCTGGAAGTGGGCAGTCCAGGGCTATTGAGCCGGTTCCAGGAGCTGTCAGGCACCTGACTCCTGTTTCCTTTCTGCTCAGTCATCTTAAATCCCCGTCCTCTGACCTCAAAGTTGCCTCATGGCGGCAGACGGTTGCAGAAGCTCCAGCCATCATGGTCTCATTCTGTGCAGGAAGGAAGAAAGTGGCGGTGGACGGGTGTGGGGTGCAGTGGGACAGAAGGTACAAGCCAGCTGCATTTGTTCCTTTTTTTAGAAACATTTTACTTATTTTTAAAACTAATCTCTGCACACAACGTGGGGCTAGAACTCACAACCTGAGATCTGGAGTCACACACTTCTACCACCTGAGCAGTCACCCTGAGTCTGTTCCATTTAAAATTTTTGTTTAATGTTTTTATTTATTTCTGAGAGAGAGAGACAGACAGAGAGAGAGAGAGAGACAGTGTGAGCAGGGGAGGGGCAGAGAAAGAGGGAGACACAGAATCTGAAACAGGCTCCAGGCTCTGAGCTGTCAGCACAGAGCCCAACGCGGGGCTCGAACCCATGAACCGTGAGATCATGACCTGAGCCGAAAGTCGGATGCCTAACCGACTGAGCCACCCAGGCGCCCCTGTTCCATTTTAAAACTGAAAAGACCTCAGTGACTTCTTATTACCACCGTCTTCCACTCTCTGCAGAGGGGTTTAGGAAATGTGGCTTTGGGGCTGAATTTAGTAGAATACGTTGTTGTTCCTGATAACGCAGAAGCTCTTGTACATTATTTTCATGGCGCTTGAGGTCGGGAGGATTGGGCAAACACAGGCTCAGCCTAACCGTTTCGAACTGGACTTGCTGATCCGGGCAGTATACAAAGACTGTTTCTTTTTTGGCTAATGGTAAATATATTCTTATATTTGAGAACGCCTTTTTTAAATATAGTTTGAGCTGCTAGGCTCTGTGTGCCCTTTCTTAGTGATTATCATGCTCTTTATTTGCATGAGTAGTAAAGGAGCCATGTGTGAGGAAAAAACTTTTGTTTGTCTGAGTTTTTGAAACTTTGAGAAACAGTTATGACCCCCTAAGCTGCTGTCTAGGCATTTTACAGTATGATAACCCTATTCACACCAGAATCTGGATATTTAGGTAAGGACCTGAGTTCAGGATTCCCTCCATAAATCCCTGCTTTGCTTTCCCGGCACCTCTTAAAATAACCATTTGGAGTTGAGCCCTGGGAAAGGTAGTGACCTCCATCCCCACCACCTGTAAGTGACAGGTGCTTGCTGCCCTGCTCCCTTACCTCCTGCTTGTTCATGACCTGCCAACCCTACCTCGTTTCTGGGGTCTCTAATAAACCTTCTGACTCTCCTTCCTTTCTGTGGGTATAATGAAACCATGCCTTCGCTCCAGACAAGCCCATGGGGTTCATTTCCCCAAACTGGGACCTCAGATGCTCAGGGCTTATGTCCCTCACTCAGCAGATCGTAATCTGCGTGTTTTTTTAAAAATGTATATTTATTTATATTTTAGCGAGAGGGAGGGAGAGAGAGAGAGAGAGAGCGCACATGAGAACTCATAGGAGCAGAGAGAGGGAGGCAGAGAATCCCAAGTAGCCACTGAGATGTCAGCACAGAGCCCAATGTAAGGCTCAGTCTCACAAACCGTGAGATCATGACCTGAGCCAAAATCAAGGGTCAGACGCCTAACCAACTGAGCCACCCAGGCAGGTGCCCCTTTAATCTGTATATTCTTACTTCCAGCACCAGCTCTGGCTTCCCACCACACAGTCTCAGTAGGTTTTCCAAGTTTTTAATTAGAATGTTACCCTTCATTCCATTTGAGTCTGTGTACTGATTTCATGTTGCTGCTGTAAAATCTTAGCTCCAACTTAGGGCTTAAAACAGCACTCACTTATTTTCTTCTCCTTCTTGCAGTCAGAAGTCCCAAAGGAGTTTCCCTGGGCTAAAATCAGGTCCTCACCAGGCTGGAGGGCAGCCTCCAACCCCTTTCCTCTCTAGCTTCTCGAGGTCACCTGGGCTCTCAACCCTCCCACTGTCATCGAAGCCAGCCACGTAGCGTCTCCAGGCTCTCTCTGACCCTGACCCTCCTGCTTCCTTCTTATAGGGGATCTTGTTATTATGTGGAACCCACCCAGGTAGTCTAGGAGAGTTGGCCCATTTGAAGACCCCTGTACAAAGTACCTTGCTATGTAAGGTGATGTTCACAGGTTAGGATATTGACCTCATGGTATGATAAACCTCTCACAGGCAGCTCTAACTCAAGTTCCAGTATAATTTTTCTTTATGTATGTCGTCCCTTTAAACTGCTGCCCTGAAAGGCTTAGCTGAGAGCCATGATTTTTCATGAACAGAATTTGGACCTAATTCTTAAGAACATTGGAGGGATCAGTCTCTCTGTTTTAAAAAGCTTAAGTTCAGGGGCGCCTGGGTGGCTTAGTCAGTTAAGCGTCCAACTTTCGCTTAGGTCATGATCTCGCGGTTCGTGAGTTCGAGCCCCGCGTCGGGCTCTGTGCTGACTGCCAGCTCAGAGCCTGGAGCCTGTTTCGGATTCTGTGACTCCCTCTCTCTGTGACCCTCCCCTGCTCACGCTGTCTCTCTCTCTCCTAGAAATAAATAAAACATTTAAAAAAAAAAAAAAAAAAGCTTAAGTTCATTCTATTGTAGATCTTTTGAGAAACTCTCTAAATGGTGGGGTCTAGTTCACATGGCGTTTCCAGCAACATGGTTAGAAACATTGCATTTTAGGGGCACCTGGGTGGCTCAGTTGGTTAAACGTCCGATTCGGCTCAGGTCATGATCTCATGTTCGTGGGTTTGAGCCCTGTGTCAGGCTCTGTGCTGACAGTTCGGAGCCTGGAGCCTGCTTCGGATTCTGTGTCTCCCTCTCTCTCTGCCCCTCCTCCACTCATGCTGTGTCCCTGTCTCTCAAAAAATAAAATAAAACATCCCCAGTTCTTTGGACTCATTTGTTTTGATTCTCTTCTTGTGTGCTGTGGGCACTGGAGTAGAGATTTCTGGGAAAAAAATAAAATAAAACATTTAAAAATTTTTTTAAAAAGAAACATTGCATTTTATACTGCTCTTTCATTTGAAATAATATGTAGAAAGACTTTACTTCTTCTGAGCAAACTTTCATTATATAAATTGATTTTGAAAATTATAAATATCTTTACCTCCATTATAACGCATTCACTGAGCTTTTGGAAAAAAAATAATTGCAGTCTGAAATACTTGGTGTTACACAACCACAGCAAAAAGTACCAAAACAATAAAACCCTTGTCCTTAAACCTACTCATTTAGGAAAACTAAGTAAAGAATTTTTTAACAAAATTTCAGTGTGATTATACTTTCTTGTATCTTTTTATTGGAGATAACTGTGACTCGTTTTCTTTTATTGCCTTTCCTCTTCAAATAATGTCTTTATCATTGAGACATTTTCTGTTGTTTTTTTCCTTTGTTTCTATCTTATAGCTTAAGAAATGTATAAAAACTCCAGAAATCCCATCTAAACATGTTAGGAACTGGGTCCCAAAAGTCTTGGAGCAGCGACGGCAAGGCTTGGAAACATATTTACAGGTAAGATGTGTTTAGATCCTCAGTTAATAAAATGTAGTGTAAATAAACTTATGTCTTGATATTTTTTCTCAGAACTTACGGGTGAGATACAAAGTATATCAAGCAATCAAACATTCTAGATTAAAATAAAGAAAGCTTAAAATTATAAATATATCATTGGTTGGTCCTTTTAGCTTTAATGAAGTTATGTTTGAAATTGGTTATGTGGACCAAGGAAGTGAAAATTTAGTATCAAGGTTAAAACTGATGTAAGGCAAATCTGTCCGTGTTTTAATTCAGCGCTATGAATTACTTTTTGCTTTTTGTTTTCTTTCCAAGATTTATTGCTTTCCCATGGCATTCCTAGTCTTAGTTTTGGGTGTTGAGGACATAGAGAAATTGAATTTTTGTTGGTCCCAACCAGTCCGTCTATGGAATCAAGTTGAGAACGAATGTGTAAGAATTGTGTCTGATGAAGTGCCGGCTTCTTTGAATATTAGAATGTGGTTTTGGAAAAGAATGCATTAGGAGGCCCTTTTGTGCAGCTGAGAGGAGCAAGTGGAACCATTGAAGGAAATAAAATGCTTGTCCTAAGTGACAGGAAAAGCAAAGAAATGATGGACCGGTGTCAGCTTCTCTCCGTTTTTAAATATAAAAGGCTAAAGGGCTCAGATGAATATTTCATGGAGTTGTTAATCCAAAGAGCAGCACACAGGGCAGGGGCAGGGATGGCACAGGTCCGGTGTTCAGCCAGGACACTGAACAATTGAGAGGCAGATGCATGGGAATGACTCAGGTGAGCGTGACCGGGAGGACGAGGAAGAGCAGAGCTGGACCTCCCCTGAGAGTTGTGGATTCGCCGTCATGATCTATCCATCTGAGACGTGTTACATCACAGAAACAGCTGCCGTTACCGTCCCTTTTATGAAAAATACCTTGTAACCCCTCACACCTTTAACCCCGAGGTGGGTTCTGTGCAGGCAGGTGGCTGCAGGCTCTGGGAAGCCAGCACACTGTTTCCACGACAGAGCTTTCCTGGGTGGTTGTGCCTGAATCACTCTTGGTTACAAGTGGAAGAGAAGCTGTCACCGCAGGTTTCACCTCACTCTCCCCCCCTAGGTAGTTGCCAAGAGCCTGTTGGTGGCCGCATATAATTTTCTTGGCCTTGATGGTGTTCACCGAGGAAAGCTGACCTGCTGGACACCTTGCGAGCCTCTGAGGAGGGCCGTCTTGACTGTTGTTGTTCTCTTGCTCTGGGCCTGCTTGTTTTCACTGCCTCCCCCTGGGAGTGGGCGATTAAAGGGAAGGGGGATCACAAAGGACAGGAACACGTGTGGCTGTGTTCCCTCGGACTCCGTACGTGGAACTGTGAGTGCTCCCAAGCTTCTGGCAGCGTTGCAGAGTAAAACCAAACTAAAACACCAAAACACGAGACTTTAGACATTGTGTATGCAAAGCGTAGAAATTCATGTGCTCTGTAATTAAACGGAATAGGTAAACAGTGCATTCTTACTCATAAGCCAGATTTTCCACGGATATTGTATATCTTCAAGCTTTCGTAGTGAAGAATGCTTTCCTCTCTTTTCTCTCATTGTCTTTGACACATGACTTCCATTACTACTTAGTGTAAACATTTTAAGTTGTTTGTACTTTGGATATAAATATGCAGATAAAATCATCTGGCACTGAGAAGAGTTTACAGTGACTCTCAAATTGAGCTTGGAATTTTCTATTCTCAGAAATAGGGCTTGAAAGATGTGGTTGAGGGACCGAGAGGGCTTGGTTCCTGTTGTGCCTTTGATATTCATTTTCTTGTCACTTCAGTCCCCAGAGAGTTGAAGGAGCTTTCTCTTCTCTCTCTTCTACCTGATTCTCTTTGCAGGCGGTGGGAGCTAGGTGGAAGTTGCAAAGATGAGTGGGAACGCTTTATCAGTCCCAAGTGAAATGAAAATCCTGGGTTACACTTCATTCTGGGATAATTTTTGGTGTGTAAGTCTCTTGAGGAGGAAGACAGTCTCCATGATCTCATGGTTTGTGAGTTCGAGCCCCACATCGGACTCTGTGTTGGCAGTGCAGAGCCTGCTTGGAATCCTCGCTCTCCCTCTCTCTCTCTGCCCCTCCCCAACTCGTCTCACTCACTCTCTCTGTCTCTCTCTCTCTCTCTCTCTTTTTCCGAATAAATAAATAAACTTAAAAAGTGGAGGAGGAGAATAAGACAGTCTGCATGAGCTGTACAGGATGGCCCTGTTCTAGCCCATAAAGCTGAGAGAGTAGTCATAGCCCAAAGTCATAGCATCTAAAGCTCCCTGTGACCTTGGACATTAGCTAGTCCTGCCTGCCTCCTGCTCTTCAGTTACATTTGTAATTATCTGTCTAGCCAGTTTGCCACCCATAGAACAGGCAGATTAGCCCTCACAGAAAACACCTCTTCCACTTGTCCAGAGATCAACTAGTACATTCTGGACCATGGCTAAGTGCAACACCATTCCCTAAGGTGGCCCATGCTGCTCTTTTACTTTAGAGATGGAGAAGTTGAGGTCCAGTATGGTTACGAAAACTGCCTCACTTCCTGGAGTTTATTACTTAAAGAGATGTCTTGAAATCTTAGTTTCTTAACTCTCAAGAGACTCTTTTCAAGCTGCATTGTAGATTTTTCTGATTTTTCAGACTTGACATAGTTTTAGTTAAGGCTATATGAATAATTGTAAAAGAAATGTCCTTATAACCATAAACTATCACAATTTAATTAACTATCCACCCCCATCTCCCTTGATAGATTGATAGATTGGGAATTTTTTAAATCTGTAACTTGCATAGTTAGAATCCTACAGGGGGCGCCTGGGTGGCTCAGTCTAAGCATCTGACTTCAACTCAGGTTATAATCTCAAAGCTCATAAATTCGAGCCCCGCATCCAACTCTGTGCTGACAGCTCAGAGCCTGGAGCCTGCTTCAGATTCTGTCTCCCTCTTTCTTTGCCCCTCCCCAGCTCATGCTCTCTCTCTTTCTCTCTCTCAAAAATGAACAAACATTAAAAACATTTTTAAAAAAAGAATTCTTAGGATTCATTGTGTCTTCCAACTGGGAAAGTTCCATAGCTGCTGTCTAGTGGGGAAACTACACCAAGTCTCTAACGAAAGACAAGACGCATAGAGGACCTAACCAGGTCTAACGTCCCGGAGTCCCACAAAGAACGAAGAGGGGAAAATACAAACGTAGGGGAGGAAATCATCAAAGGAAAAACAGTTGAACATTCTCCCAAACTGGAGGCTCTGGGCCTTGACGCTGACCAGGTGCTCCAAGGGCTGAAAACAGAGAACGACAGAAGCCCTCCGGGGCTCAGACACAGCGGGCAGCGTTTCAGTATGTCAGAGATAAAGATACATACTCTTTGAGAAAAGAAAACAAACAGTGGGCAAGGCTGAGGTTGCACCATGGCCCGGTGGAATGGGCGTGTCCCTCTGTGGCCTTCAGTAGCAGCATGAAATCGCAAGCCGGCCTGGCTTCTTAGTCAAAGATCTTTCATGGGAACTTCACATGAGTCACTTGTCGCAGTAATGTGAGATTTATGTTTCTGAGAAAGGGACCCACATCTCTTGTCATTTACTTAAGCACAACAGCGGTTTATGTTTTCATCTTGTTCATAGGGAGGGAACAACAGTTAACTCTCCAGTGAGTGTTGGGAGATAGACCGAAGCGGCTCATAGAAATCAAGATTAAGGATAATCTCAGCCAGGAAGAAATGCCTTAAAGAAAAATTCACTCGGGGTGCCTGGGTGGCTCAGTTGGTTAAGCGTCCAACTTTGGCACAGGTCACGATCTCACAGTTCGTGGGTTTGAGCCCTGTGCCGGGCTCTGTGCTGACGGCTCAGAGCCCGGAACCTGCTTCAGATTGTGTGTCTCCCTCTCTCTCTGACCCTCCCCTGCTCACGCTGTCTGTCTCTTTCTTTCTCAGAAATAAATAAAACATTTAAAAATTAAAAAAAAAAGAAAAAGAAAAGTTCACTTGAAGAAAACAGTTCCACAGCTGGTGTGGGGTTTGTCCTAAAGCACACACAGAACTCTGTGGTCAGAAGACCCTATTCTCTGACCAGCCTGCCCCTCATTTGTTTTTTAACATGTACAATATTGTATCATGTTCCCTTGGGCCAGTAGTCTGCGATGGACCAGAGGATTACATTTTTGACACCTCCACTAGTGCGTGAAGCACTTATTGAAATTGACCATGTGTGCTTGAAAACGTGTCTTCTCTAATTCTTGAGTACACTGAGCTATATATAAGCAAATGAAGCTTGTTAAGTGTGCTCTTCAGTCAAATGTGGCTTTTTGATCTGTAGGAAGAAAGGTGTGTTCAGATTTCCCACTTACATTTCTACGATTGCTCTGATGATTGAGCTTAGTTCAAACATCCCTGCTTTCTCTCTGGGCCCCTTCTTTTGTGAGCTTTTGCAATTCTTGCCTGCTTTTGGGTTGGTGGCTGATTTCCCCCACACCCCCGCCCCCCGTCCTTTTTCTCTTTGCATTTTCCTTTCTCTGTTAGTTTATATCTGTTCTTGTCATAGTTGCCTGTTCTCTTTAGTCTCCTGAGTGCAAGGATTTTATGATGTTTCACATCTGATCGTTCTAGATCTAGGATTCTGGGTTGATGGTCCTTTTTTGCCGGGGGGCACTTGGAAAATATTGTACCCCTTCCTTCTGGCTTCTCTAGTTTCTGATAAAAAAAAAAATTCGACTGTCGTATTACCGTTTTCCATTAGTACATAAGATGAGGTTTTAAGATGTCTGTTTTCAAGATTTTATCTTTGTCAATAGTTTTCAGAAGCTTAATGATAATGTGTTTTGGTGTGTATTGCTTTGGATTTTTTCTGTTTGGAGTTCTCGTGTTTTTCTCCTCTCCACTTTCTCCTCCCCTTCCAGGACTGTGATAATAAGGATACATGTGTTGTGTTTTTGTTGCTGTTGTTTTTGTTGTTTGTTTTGGTATGTGTGTGTGTGTGTGTGTGTGTGTGTGTGTGTGTATGTG